GGAGTTTTTTGGGTGTGCATACACCCATAATGCAACTTCCCTTTACAGATCAGTTTATTCTATGGACTCAGTTCTGATTTTAAAGATGCAGGTCACACATCACTGACAGTAGGGCCAGCCTTATGCGGCTTGTCCCATTCCTTCCACTACCCTCCACTGGAGTGGAGGAACTTGAAGGGTGCAGACTGACGTTCGATTCCAGTGCTTGTGGAAAGAAGGTGGGGGATGCAGATCGTCCAGGCAAGGAATCTGCACCAATTGCATTTCCCAGCACCCCAGGAGCTCCCTGCATCACAAGGCAGAGAGCTTTTCTGTTAGGGATGGTGGTTCCAAAACAAAGCAGATTCACTGGGTAATATTCCCTGTGAGAGTGGCTGCAACTGGTGATGATGTAGCTTTTAGTCTGCGGTAGTTGCTGCAAAGTGGTTCATAACCAATCTATGATCTGGGCAGAGGATTCCGTCTCCCATATGCTTCCTCTAGAGGGTAGTCCATTTACTCCCAACTGTGCAGTGGGTCCAGGATTTGGACATATATGCAGATTGTCATAGTAAGAGTAGCCACAGCCCTTACAAAGCAGACATTGATTAATACAGGAATAAGCTACAAACAAAACAAGTTGGCTTCCATCTGTTGTGGGACCAGAGACCGCACCCTTGCAGGGACTTTCAGTATAGCACAGAGACATCTAGTGGCCAAATAACATACCTACAAGTAAATATCATGACACAGAAGTTAGTATTTCCATAGACAAGTCACTCAGCAACAAGTTGTTATGGACTCACAGGACTCATACTCTCTCTCGGCTCCGAACGGTCCCTGGGAGGAACCCCCTTCAGTGTGACAGTCCTTTTCAGGAGTCCACTCTCTCTCAGGGGTTAAGCTGTAGGCTCCACCGCCTCCTGGGACCGCACCTCTCTGAGCCTTCAGCACACCTGTCTCTCGTCATGGGCCCCCTCAAGGAGTCCACTTGCTCTGGATCCCCGGGGCCTCCACATCCAGAGGGAATAATGCAACCCCGATCTCTAAACTGCAGAGACTCTCAGCCAGCGTAAAACAGAAGGGTTTATTGAGTGTCTGTAAAAAGCATAAGAGGCTCTCGGGGCTCTCAGGTCTAACATCCCTCAGCAAAGTACATCTAGGTCTCATGTCACATGGCATGCAGAGAGCCATTTCATTGTACAGCTACCACTCTAAATCCTTATTCTCATTTAGCTGTTTTTTATTTGTTTAAATATTATTTTAATAGCTATACACAAGGGGCACATAAAAACACTCATAAAACATGAACTCTTAGGAGTTTCTTTATATTAAACCTGAAATGCAGAGAAATATGTAGTTGGAAGGAACAGTGGTAGCATTTTAAGCTGCCTTTCATCATTGCAGAGAGCCTGATGTGCAATAATAGTCATTATTATTTGTAGTGATCTTTAGTATTGCAGTGGTATTCCATTACATTATAAGGCAATGTCCAAATCTTGGCAGGCCAAAGGTTCTCTCTAGGGCCAAAGGGCTCTTTAGGGTTTGCTCTCTAGTAAAAGCACAGCAATTACTGATTCCATATGAGGAAAGATTAACAAGACTGGGACTTTTCAGCTTGGAAAAGAGACGGCTCAGGGGAGATATGATTGAGGTCAATAAAATCATGACTGATTTAGAGAAAGTAGATAAGGAAGTGTTGTTTACTACTTCCAATAACACACGAACTAGGGGTCACCAAATGAAGTTAATAGGCAGCAAGTTTAAAACAAATAAAAGGAAGAATTTCTTCACACAACGCACAGTCAACCTGTGGAACTCCTTGCCAGAGGATGTTGTGAAGGCCAAGACCATAACAGGGTTCAAAAAAGAACTAGATAAATTCATGGAGGATAGGGCCAGCAATGGCTATTAGCCAGGATGGGCAGGAATGGTGTCCCTAGGCTCTGTTTGCCAGAAGCTGGGAATGAGCGAGAGGGGATGGATCACTTGATGATTACCTGTTCTGTTCATACCCTCTGGGGCACCTGGCATTGGCCACTGCTGGAAGACAGGATACTGGGCTAGATGGACCTTTGGTCTGACCCAGTGGGGCCGTTCTTATGTTCTTATGCTTTGTGTTGCATAGGAACCTGATTAAGCGCCTGATTGAAAGTGTACCCCTTTAAATTTAAATATATCAACACAGCCTAGCTCCAGTGTGTTTAAATGGAAATGAAAAAGAGTCTAAATGAAATACGTGTGAAGTCCGTTTTTCCAAATGACTTGGGGGATGTCTGATACCTTTGGGCATTGGGATTAAGGGAAATGCTATTTTTAGCTGTAGTTTCACAGTGAAATTTCAATCAGTCACTGACCATGATGACAGACTGTGGAGGGAGTTGACGTTCTGTACACAGCTGAAGTTGAAATGTTTGATACTCACTCAAATAACCCAAAATCCTGATGATCTGAATCAGCGGTGTGTCCCCATGCTCATTCGGGTAATTAGGATTTTCAGTTCCCGAAGGTGGGGGGGAGAGAGACAGGGAGTAGTTGCAGGAGACAGGAACCTACTTAGTACTCCTTGAGTGAGGGGAGCTGGGAGGAAGATGGGGGCAGTAGATGCCCAGGGAAGCAGGATATGACAGCCCCCAGTGCCTGTCTTGTCCCTGCTTCCTCCTGTCTGTGCCCAGCTCCTGCTCCCAGCTGGGGCCTCTTGTGCAAGTTTGGCCCCATGACTCATCTCTGACTCTGACTCTGGGTCTACCCTGTGCTCCTGGGAGCTCCGACCCCCATGCTCCCCTGCTTGGCCCTGGCTGCCATGTGCCTGTGCTGAGCCATCTCTGAGCGCCCCCGGTCTCCTCCACCAGGGCCTGGCACTTGCCGGCTCAGAGGATGCTCTGGAGCTGGGGAGGGAAAGGGGCCAAAGCCATGAACGAGGGTCTTTTGTTTGGCCCACCAGGCACCAGCTGTTCCTTCCTGCTCCCGCACTGGTGGCTCTGCAAAGGCAGCTCCACAAACTGGCTCAAGCGCTCCCCAGGCTTCCAGCAGCTCTGACCCTTGCATTCCCCTGACAGGCGGCCCCTTTCATCCCAGGCTGCAGAGTGTCCTCCAAACCAGCGGGTGCTGGGCCCGGGCAGGGCACTCATAGGCAGATCAGCATGGGGACGCTGCAGCTGGTCTGGGCAGCGGCTGGAGCTGCTGGGAGCCCGCTGCCCAGGGCAGAGCTGGAACCAGGTAGTTGGAGCGTCCTTACAGTAGAGCTCCCAGCAGGGAGCAGGATGGAACAGCTGATGCCCAGTGGGTCAGCGGGAAGGCCCTCATAGGCCAGATCTGGGCCCCAGGCAGGCCACCGATTGAAGAACACAGCAGTATTTCCTAATGACCCTCATCAAGGGTTAGGGCCCCATTGTACTAGGCACTGTCCCTACCCCAGAGAGGTTGTAATCTAGCAGTTAGAAAGTACAGGACAGGTGAATAAACTGGCAAATGGGAGGAGCAGTGAGAGAAGGAAAAACTAACAATAGAGCCAGGGAGAATGGGAGCTGCAGAGTCGGCGCTTGAGGCGGGGGCAGCCCAGCGGCCGCCGGGACATGCCAGCCACTTCCAGGAGCTGCACGGAGCCAGGGCAGGCAGGGAGCCTGCCTTAGTCCTGCTGCGCCACCAACCGGACTATTACGCCGACCTGAGCTGCCAGGGTCCCCTTTCAACCAGGTGTTCCAGTCGAAAACCAGATGCCTGGCAACCCTAAGCCAGGCACATTTGCATAACTCAGCGTGGTCTCAGTAACAGCTGGTTGCCAGCCTAATCAGTCCCAGATGGCAATGGTTTGTAGGTCTGTATCTTTTAAAAGTAGGTTTCAAGGAGGAATCTCAGTGAGAATAAGGTGATGGCTTGTGAATGTTGTCAGAACATTCTTGCCCAGCACATGGTGTGGCATGGGAAGGTGCTTCTGTGACAAGCAGATAAATGGATGCTCAAGTGTATCACTGGCAGAGTGAAGGAGAGGGTCAGGGCCATAATAAGAAACTAGACTTGAAAGGTAAGGGGCCGCTGATTCAGTGGAGAAGGGGAAGCCAGTGGAGGGGTACAAAGGGGAAATGATGTCATCAAAATCACCTTGGAAACATTTTAAATAGCTATGAAGCAGGAAGGTTGTAGGCATCAGTGCCACACAGGTGAGATTACAATAATTAATGTCTGATTTTATGGTGTAGTGAGGTGGTCACCCTGCTCTGGTTCAGAAAGGGTTAAATGCTAGCCCCTGGAGAGGGCTGGGAGCCAATCACGAAAAGGCTGGTAGGAAGCCAATCAGGGCCAGCCTGAGCCCTATAAAAGGGCTACAGCCTTGGAGAGAGATGGATTTGGTGGCTGGATAGCGAAAAGGGTACCTTGGACAGCACAGTGCTGGGGAAAGGCAGGAGGAGGCACTGGGGGAGCTCCAGCCTGGCAAACTCCCAGGCAGAGGCCTTGCTGTCAGGGCCGGAGGAGATATTAGGGCTGTGGGAAGGCAGCCCGGGAAGGAAGAGGCAGCAGGTCCAACGCCCTGGCTGATGATGAGTGGCCACTTCAGACTGCAGTTTGCCCCTGAGGGAAAGGGCTAGATGAAGACTGGCAGTGAGTCATTGGGGCGAGGTGGGCTTAGGGGATTGAGGTTCCCCGGGGAGGGAGGACCCCACGTTTGTGGGCACTGCTGAGGGGCAGTACCCAGGAGAAGGGGCACTACGGGCTGGGAGGGACGCAGCGCCTGAATTACAGTGGTGGAGATTGATAATGATAAGATAAAGCAACAGCAGGAGATGCTCCGATGCTGGGATGAGCTAATTCCCGAGGTAACCAGCAGGAGGCGCCACGGCAGTGAGTGTATTCCATATTACACATGGATAAAGAAGAAGACCATGTATCCTTTACGTTTTCCTGTTTCTTTATCTATCGTGCTTTCCCAACCTTATAAGTTTCCTTATACTAGTGCATTATGCAGTCATGTTCCAGGGTCCTTGTGATACTTGATATATGGGATTTTTATTTTATTTTTCCAGAACTAAAGCTTGGAACGTTCATTCATAATATGAAGATGCTGCTGACTTTGTTCCTCTTCCTTATTGGGAGTCAAACTTCAGTAACTCAGACGCCTGGTATTTCAGTATCCTTTGTATTTTGTTGTATTACATGATTTGATTTTTTTTAATACAATATTTAGTCCCCAATCCCCCCCCCAAAAAAAAATTGAGGTGACGCGTGAGACTCTTGAGTTAGGGTCTCTGTACCTTATGAGACTTTGTATAATAGACTGAAACTGTGTTTGGATAATGGAGATGGACATTAGATTTACATATTTGGTTGATTAGTGCTATCGTAAACCGTGACAGACTTACATAGATTAGGGCCAAATTCAGAGGTGAAAATGCAGATAGCGTATAAATGAAGCGCACACATGGAATTTAGTTATTTTCAAGTGGGTACCTGGGATTGAATTACTCAGCATGTGCAAAAGGAGGATCCAGTCCTGCTCCCTACTCACATGGGTTCTGTTGGGGTCACTGGGATTCTACATGTAAATTCTGCAGAACTGGGTCCTTGGTATAAATCCCAGGCACAGCGAGAGCTAAATTGTGGCATTGTAAGTTAGGGCAGAATTTGGCCGTGGAGGGGGCTAGATCAATGTGACTGATAGGGTAGACGTGTTGCATAATTTAGAAAAGTTGTCAATAGGAAAGTTGCTCAGGAGGAAAGTGAGGCCCAACGCTGCACATTCTTCTGAGAAAAACTGAGGGCTTTCAACTCCTATTGACTTCAGTGGAGGTTAAGGATGATTAGCAACTTGCTGGAGGCAACCAGCACTTGTGACAGGCCGGTAACTAAGCACAGAGGAATAAAGGCAGAAAGAAAAAGCAACTTTTGCCACTTTGTGGCATACAACACAATGAGACTCTGAAGAGGGTTGCACACTTAGTCCACAGTTGCCATAGGATTCCATATGGGAGAGAAGGCTGTCTGGATCACTGACATACCCTTGACATCTACTGTGTTAAGGTAAAATATGACCGTGCCAGTGAAAAGTACAGGGATGACAGGAGAAGGTGAAATTTCCCCCCATCCAAACTGGAGTAAGCATGTAAAACTGCAGCTCCGCTTCTTTCACCCCAGTACCTTGACTCCTCCATAAGAGGTAGTCATAAGTAGTTGTCTCAGCTCTTCTTAGCTACTAGCACTGGGAGTTGGGGCCAAAGGATAAGGATCTGCGTAAATGTGGATTTTGGGCTCCATCCCAGCCCTCTGCAGTAGAGTTAGTATGGAGATCCTTTTTGCAGTGCACAATTCCTTGTAATTCCTGAGCCTAAGTGGTTCAGGGGACTTTGCATGGTTCCTCCATACTAAGGGTGAACTACACTGTGCCATGTGCTGAACTGAATGTTAGCAAAAATAAACCAGCGTGCATTGTGCCTGTAGTCACCACCCCATAGTCACAAACATGTGAAAGAAGTTAGCACTTAGAGATATTTCTCTAACTGGAAACACTAGATAATGTGTGTCCTATTCAGTAGAAATAAAAAAAAAAAATTTAAACCTCAAAAAGGAAGCAAGCATCCAATCCTGAGAAGTGCTGAATAGCTACATCTCCTGGGAAGTCCTGGGTACCAAACAGATGCTGAGCACCTGTAACTTCCTATCTTTGTAATCTTTCATGATAATAAAATAAGCTTAAAATATGAGAGAATTCTTGGGCTTAGAAGGATATTTTTCAGCTTTTGGACATTTTGTTTATGGATAAATTCTTCTGTGAAGCATTGCTTTTATCATCTGAGTATTGTAGAGCTAAAGGTAAGAAATATGTAATAACATTTAATTTTCTGATTTTTTTTTTGTTCAGCCCCTACATCTGCAGATATTGTCCTTTTGGTTGACAGCTCTAATAGCCTGGGAAACAAGGCATTCCCCTCTATGAAGTCTTTTATTAGCAAACTGATCAGTCATCTAACAGCAACTCCTAACCAATATCGTATCGCGCTTGCCCAGTACAGTGATGATTTGCATGTTGAATTTCTGCTAGACGCCTATACAGCAAAGAACCCAATGCTGAATTATGTCAGAAAGAAATTTGTATTCAAGGGTGGTTCAGTAAAAACTGGCAATGCCCTTCGAAAAGTTCATGGGACCTATTTCAAAGGACCAACTAGTGGAAGAGACAAAGAACGAATTCTGGTAGTCTTGACTTCAGGGGCATCAGAGGATGCTGTAGTAGAACCTGCCAAGACCTTGAAAAGTGACGGGGTAAAAATCATAGCCGTGGGGATTCAGGATGTTTCTCCTCAAGAACTGCAGTCAATGGCTACACCTCAATTTTCTTATAAGTTTCGCACAGTGAGGGATCTCAGTATGTCTTCTCAAATGACCAAGATCATCGAGGATGTTATTCAAACAGATATTAATGGTATAATACCAACAGATATAATTGCAAGTGCTCCTGAGAGAGAAGGTAAGGAATGCAAGGCTATGAAAAAATTGTGATCATATTGGTTGGAAGAAATAATTCAGTGTTAGAAAGAAAGACACCTTGAACATTTTGGGCTAAATTTTCAAAATATTAAATGACATGCATATTTTAAAATAAAGAAGAGAGCAGACATGTACATGACCTGGTACCTGTGTACACAGAGAGGCATGTAATCTTGACATTTTGAAAACCAGTGCCTATCTGATCATGACTTTATGCATGACTAACTCCGGACTCCACAAAAGTGAATGGAGAGTGGGTGGAGTGAAGCTTTAACTATTCTTGCAGAGTTGGTAATTTTCAAGAGAATAGAGCTCGTGTTGTTGGTTTATGCCCTGAAACAACTAATTAATGGGCATTTTCCTTTGGGCTTCCTCTGACATGGCTGGTATTGACCACTGCTGGAGACAAGATATTGGAGTTAGGTGGCGGCTAATTTGATTCAGTATGGCAATTCCTGTGTTTCTAGATAAATCTGAATGAGGGAAACTATTTTAGAAGACTGTTCCATGGATTGGCCAAGAAATAGACAATTAATATTGTGTTCTTTTCCTCTCTCTTCCCCTTGCAGTTTGTAAGAATGATTCCGTTGCTGATGTTGTGTTCATAGTAGATGAGGGTGTTTCAAAACCAAAATCTGAACATATTAAAAAGTTCCTGCAAGATACAGTCTCCTTTCTTGATGTGAGGAAGAATTGTATAAAGATTGGCCTAGTGACATATAGCAGTGAGCCACATGTGTTATCTTTATTGAGCGAAGAAACAAACAAAACTGCTATTCTGCAGAAAATACAGGGCTTTTCTCCAAGGGAAGGGAAGGCCAACACCGGTGCTGCCATTAATGCTACAAGGAAAAACATCTTCCGTGTAAAATTTGGAAGCAGAAAGGCCCAAGGGATAGAGCAAATAGCCATTCTGATCACCCACAGACCCTCTGAAGATAACGTAAGAAAGGCAGCTCGTGGTCTTCGGAGAGCTGGTGTGACTGTATTCACCATAGGCATTGAAAATGCTGATTACACCCAGTTAACCCAGATAGCATCATATCCTCCACAGCAATATGTTACTAAGCTGACCGCATTTTCTGACCTGCCAGAACAAGCTGGAACTTTACAAAAGAAACTCTTGAATCAAATTCAGGACAAGCTGTATGTCCAGTCTAAAAGAAGAGAACTACTTAAAGCAGGTAAACCTTCCCAGTAATTATATTTCTATCTTTTCTCTAGGTGGAAGATTTTTAAGTAGAGATGGTCCTGAACCGAAACCCCCTGAACTTTTGATCTAGTTCCAAACTTTAGCCTTTGAGGAAGTGCAGGTCCAAAGCTGAATCTGGATCCAAACTGTAGCTCGGACCCATCGTTTTAACATATTGACTGGTTCATGTTATTTTATTGAATTCATGCAAAGATCCTGCATCACGGTCTCCTAGCAGAGCAATTGATGTCTTTATGGAGTCCTCTTGGTGTTAGTGGGACTCTGCATAGGTGTAAAGGAGGGTCCTTCATAACAGAGCCCAATATAGGATTGGTGCCTAAATTATTTTAGGCAGTGGACAGTTTTTATAGTCCAAGCAAACACAGCCTGGACAAGCAAGTCTGATGTCCCCACAGAGCTTTGTCGTTATACTGCTTGAAAAACAGAGGCTGTGTGCTGGGGGGGTTCCCTTCAGCCCCTCCCCACCCTAGAAGAAGATAATTACAGATGCCCCTGAATGGGGTTAGGGAGTTCACTTGGATAAACATGTGGCTTAAGGCTCTTGGACCCAGGAAGAATCCAAGCTAAACCTCAATCTCCTGATACTGTGGGCAGTGCATGAAGCCTGAAAAAGATTCCTGCCGCTCCTCTGTACCATGCATGTTCAAGTCACATCTAACATGGCTACAGTACACTATATCAAAAACAGGAATAGGGAGGTCCACCCTCCTTTGCAGAGTCGGCCTCTGCAGTTGTTGGCCAGAAGAGTAGGTGAACTTGGGGCCCTTAAGGTGGACCCTCCTGCACAGTCTTCCATAAGGATAAGGTTTCTTTGAGGTTACAGCCCATATTCATTTCAAATGTTCCCTCTGAATACCATTTAAATCAGGTCATATAACTAGCTATCTTCCACCCAAAATATTATACCACCAGAAAAGACAGGGAGCACCATTCTCTGGATGTTTACTGAGCCTGAGCATTCTACCTGCAGATGACAGAACCCTTCAGGGAATCTCCTAATCTAGTTGTCTCCTTTGTCAAATGTATGAAAGGGGAAGCAATCTCCTCAGAGATTTTCTAAATGGATTTCAAGTTGCATCAAGCTGTGAGTTGATGGTGACCCCTCCCACACAAGGTGTACAGGTTACATCAGTGGCTTTGCTTCATGGAGTTCCCCTTCTGGAGATCTGTAGAGTGGCAACATGGAGCTCTATGCAGTTTTACTAGGCATTATGCCTTAGAATGAGTCTCTTCAGCAGATGTATCCTTTCAGATTGCAGGATCACGCTGCCAAACACCTCAGGGTTCCCTGCACCCTCCTCATTGAGTACTGCTTGTGAGCTACCTTGAATTGAATACACATAGGGACCGTCATTTGAAGAAATTCTGGTTACTTACCTTACAGTAACTGGTGTTCTTCAAGATGTGTGGTCCCAATCTGTATTCCACTTCCCAGCCTCCTTCCACTCTCCTTCTGATCCCTTCCTTGGGTTATTCATGAAAAGGAACAGAAGAGGTGGTCAGTCCATGTGGTCCCTCATGCCCTTGACTTGGAGCACAAGGAGGTGATGGGCAGAGATGCGGACCAAGAGATACTGCTGTTGAAAAATCTTCTGGTCTTAGGCACATGGAGTGCATGCGCACCTCGAGTAGCATACAGATAGGGATCACATAACCTGAACTCCAGTTATCATAAGTTAAATAACCAGCATTTCTCAGACATTGTTACTTTACATTGAGGTTACAGCCAATTTGCACCATGATAACCTCACTCTCTGGCAGATTTTTCTGCCGCTGTGGAACTCCAAATGGAAGGAGGAGGAGGATCCGGGGAACTACAGGCCAGTCAGCCTCACCTCAGTCCCTGGAAAAATCATGGAG